GCTAGTGTGGGTGGGGTGAGAAATATTATGTCTAAGCACAATGTCCAGTTGTAGTCTCAGTCGTCAACGAATGTGTTGAAATTATACTGTATTTATACTTGATTGCCTACGATTCGACGTCCCTCAATTGCAATGTGCCCATCCCTATGGTATAAGTGTATCGCACAGGCCAACGCCGGCGTAGATTCCGCAATGTGGCTCCATAGAAAGAGAGACTTGAACAATAGACATTGGTATTACGTGGGAAGCATACATCTCACAACGTAATCGTCGGAAACAACCGATTCGTTTCTAATTTGAATATTTTCATGTCATTATTTACGGTGTTAATTGGAGTGTTAGTGCAATGCTTGGTAAAAGACGATCTAATGATTTCCATATCGAGCTTCAATATTAAAAAGGGAAGACAGAGTTGGGGTTGAGGGTGGGGTGGTGGTGGTGCCAGTGTTATTGTGATGCAGTAGATACAGTTTCATTGTGAACACTGCGACATACCGTTCACCGCTATGTATTTGTAGATTACCCAGAGTCATTGACCTTTGGTACTGGTGAAAGTTTATTAAAGCGGGGGGAGTCGCCACCTGTGCATGCGGCAAACAACCATAGTACTAGTATGTCGTTGTTTACAAACAAGCGTCTAGCCATGAGCCTTTGCGTTTTTAACATGCGTTGTTATTGTCGCTTGCAACTCAATTCCTGCGTATGCGCAGCTGACGACCCCTCCGCTTTAACTACATTGCACTTATGCCTTGTTTTTGTCATATTAACTGCGGGAGTAATAATCAGTATTTCACATAACACAGTATATTTGGAAATAATTACATGCAAGTTACGGTATGATACAGAATTGCCGTGGCGTGTCAGGCGTATTCAGTGCAAGTCTCCGGTGGCTGCCTTTAAGTTATAACAAGTTTCCGTCACTTTATTGACAAATAAGTAACTCCCCAGATTTCGAAATAAACACGTTTCCGTGGCGATAGTATATACGTCCAGAAGTACAGTTGAAAACACGTAAATCATACTTACGGGTTTTATTACCACACTGATTGCAGTTAATATCAGGCAAATCAAAGCAGAGTAGGCATTGCTGACATGCGCCATGTGTACTATCACAGAATTCACCGGGCCCGCACTTACACCCGAAAGATAACAATGAACAACAAATGATTGTTATACACGTAGTGAGTATACCATGTAGGTGAAGTCGATTCATCGTCAGCAATCAGCTCTAGTTGAGAAAACTCCAAAATATTTTTGAAAGGAGCGGCGGACCAGATCAATGCGTGCGTATGAACGGACGAATAGTGATGAGCACAACTTACGAGTAATCGAGTTTTCCCATAATGCCATTGGATGGAGCATACTTTTTTTTTAGTGCGGTTAGGTGGAAACATATTATTTGTTCACAAAAAGAGTTTAATTTAATTTTATTCATCACTAATATTGGACTATTGCCAATGTTACATGACTGTTTTATTTGTACAGTTCTTATTTGTATCATAAATTATTCGACGTCCCTCAACACACCTTGTCCACCCCTACTATATAGTGCAATGTCAAAGGTCAGCGCCGGCGTCGATCCGCCAAAGTGGTCCCTTCGTATAAAGAAAAAAAACTAAACAATAAATATCGGTATCATTTGAGCATTCTTGAAATGAATGATATGTGAATATTTATACAGGATATGGTACAATGACGTCACTTAGAGTTGCCGTGAATTGACGGAACATATTCGAGTAATATACATGCTATAGATGCTATGGTAATTAGTGTTTAATGTGATATGCCCCGTCCGCGTCGTTCCGCTGTGTATGACTCGTAACCCGCCGTGACAACAATAAAAATATATTCGGAAAGTATTTTGCGAGACAGTAGATACGAATCATACTTTTCCGTACACGAATGTTGGAGAAGATCCCCCGGCTACTGTACAATCAATATACAGTAAACTTTACCCGAGGTCATTGAACTTTGACATGTTTGGAATACTACTCGTAGCACAGGAATGTGCGCTCGCTCTAATTCATTCCACACAGTCACAATGTTTTGTTTTATTTATATCAAGTACATCAATAATTATTTCCGTGCATTGTGTGCAACACAGAATAAAATAATTTTATTTAGGTTGTAATATAATACATGCGGGAGAACAACTTGGTGACTATGTCTCCGGTGGCCCGCCTTTGAGTTACAACCGGGCCGTCGGCAACCACTCCGGGACCGACTCAACTCGTGCTCTCATTCCACGATCTATCTGCAATGCAAGCAGAAATCTTTTACAATATCATAAAAATATGCGTCGCCGACAACGTTCTGCATTCATTTCATTTATGACTTCAGCGTCCTACCATTTCTTTCTCGACAAGCAACCAGTATCTTGGTCGCGACTCTCGGTACGTGTCAAGATTTGTAAAGTGGCAATGATGTTTGAACACTACTTTAATTAAACAAACGAAGTTACTACTGTTAGTACCTTCCATGATTAAGGTAGCGGGACTATTATTTGCATACTTGTTTTCATCTTCTAATTGTGACTAAATGACTACAAATAGACCTGGGAAAGTATATATTTTTAGAATCGTCAGACTTCAAGCTTTTCACAAGTGTATGTTGCATGTCCGTATCTCCAATCTACGACGCGTTATTCAATCAAAGGTGAAAAATTACTTTTTCTGTAAAAAAAATAATTACGCATTTATGCTGGCGATAAGAAGTATTTTTTTCACTTTTCCTAGTTTTTCAATAGTCTGGTAAATTGAATGTGTCTGGTTAGTTTTATTCAAGCAACGCGTTTTAAAAAATAGTGTCCTGAATTTCAATTACTGTTTTAGTCGCATTGCCCCCAACTCAAACCACAACTCGTTGGTAAATAATCGATGAAATAGTTTGTCTGGACACATTCAAGTTCCTCTCATTGTCACCTTAAAGCTGTGAAAATTTGGTGTTAATCCGACGACAATAAGTATACGTTATTTTTTGTTAAAGACCTTGTATTTTGAAAAACATAAACTCCTAAAAAACGTCCGAAGTAACAGCAAAGATTTTCAAGCTTGTTTATCGGCACAATCAATTTGTTTTCCCATCAAGGTCTGTTTTACCATGTGTAGGGACATCCAAATGTGTAAGGCTATTGGAAACCAAAAAATAAAGGAATGGGATAGCTATAATTGGATAAATTCGGCATATGAAAACACCAAAATCAATGATTTTTTTTCAGTGGCTGTGTGACCTTGTGTCTGACACATTCATATGCAAATGACTAATCTGTGAAACAAACAGGGGCGGAGACAAACCACTCAAATGTTTGGAAACACTCATTGTGTGTCAGATAGCTACTGATAACACATCCTAACATTGCTTTGTCTTGAGTTTATCTTTGAAACTTATAGGCACACAGATTAAACCTGTGTTGTTGATTTTGGAAAACACTACTGAGGCTGCCTTGCTTCCCTTCAGAAAATCTATATTTTAACCAACTTACATGACATTCTACGTTATATTGACTTTATCATATGAAAGTTTATGGTGCATTTCATCAATTAATAAATAAATGTGAAAATCGTAATTTTCAACACAAATAATAGTCTCGCTACCTTAAACCTAATATCATTTATTACACTAATTACAGTCGATATCAGTATACCAAGTTACTACCACAGATTTATCAAGATTGCACTGACATCGCGTATGTCTGAGTCGGCACGTGCCAATTTTTTTAATCATTCGTGCTGGTAGT